GATATAGGGTCACTATTACAGATTTTGTAGATGAAAAAGATTAGGTGCAACTGGAGAATGATTTTAGACATCTAGATTAGAAGGTTTTGCTGAATATTGTTGGATGATGATGAAAATTTATAGGTTTACAATTTTTCTTTTACTTTTGAGTCGATAATAGAATGATAAGTGTATTTTGTACACTTATTTGAGCATTTAAGTTAGGTATTTATATGTTATTTTGATGAATTATGGCTTAATTCTATGTCTATTGTGTTTGCTAGGTATAAATCGACATAAATAGCGGAATTGGAGATAAATGGCTAAATTGTAAGAAATCCAAAGTTCGGAGACTAAAGTACAAATACTCAAAAGTTGTATCGAACCTCAAGATTAAGATTCGAGATGTGCTATGGGTCAATTGGATGAGAAAAGAAGTCAAAAAGATGAAATATAATAAAAACTACTATTATACATCAATTTCTAGCCAAAAAAGTTATGCTCCGAATTTTTTGTCTCATATGGAAACCCATTTTTCACATAGAAAACTTTCAAATTGGAAAAAAATAATTTACTTTTAGAGGAATTGTAACCCTTTAAGTTATCTTTTCAATACACTTTAAATTACCGCAATTGGATATCGAGAGAGAAAGTTATGATAAACATACTGATGACTGTCCAGCATATGATCGTAGATCCACCAACGGTAATTGCTTGTATCTTGAAGGAAACTTGTGTAAGTGTTATGTCTTAAATTCAATTAACTTTGGACATAAATATTCTTAATATATATAATTGATGCATTTCATTTATAACAAATCTATGATTTAATTGAATTAATATTCTAATAAATTAAATAATACAATTTATAGATTCAAGTTTTGGTAATTTATTAATCATAAGGACTTGTGATTGTAAGATACAGATTACATATGAACGAGATACGGATATCGTTATTACGCATAAGTTATCACGTGTGACACTTCTTACTTTTGAAATAAGTAATTGATCTCACAAGCTAAAGTGTGATAACACTGAAATGAACACATGAATATTTTATTATAAAAAAAACAGGGCGACCGATTGTGAAGATTCTACATGGATAACTATTTGAATGTCAGTGATTAATCTTTAACATTCGGTGTTATAATTGATCATTCGACTGGAGGTCATCATAATGGTTTATATGTGGACAGTCATAATTTGGTTATATTTGATGTTGCTTGTCAACGGTTGCTAATACAAAATCGTTCGAATATGTCAAAAATCATATGAAAGTTGTGAATGACAAATGGAGAATTCGTCACTCTTAGATAGTAAGAGATTATAATCTACATTCATTCGGTTAAGTTGATAATGAAATCTTTGGATAAGATGTTCTCATGAGTCGAAAAATGTTTTCGACTTATATTGACTAAGTGTGGGATAAAGAATATGATCGATAATCGACATTGACACTCTTTCATATCTCGTAATTGATCGAATTATATTGACATATGGATTATAATTTCACAGTAAACAAAAAAGTCTGATTTTATCATACTACGTGACATTTTCCGTCACATGTATTGTCCTAACACATTGCTAAATGTCAATTTAGGACGACGAATGTGAATTGGTGATAAATTAAAAATAAGTATTTTAATTTAACTATTTTGATTAGATCAAAATAATAATTTACGCCGTTAGGTATCGTAATCGAGGACCTAATGGGTTACAAACGAAAGAAAAACTAGAAGAATAAGATTCATCAATTAATTAATTAACAAGTGTTAGACAATTAATTAATTAGATTGTTTGTTAAGAGGCCCGGATTAATTAATTCATGAATTGTGTTAAGTTTAAGAGACGGACTGAGCTCACTTGGGTTTTATTAATAGGCCGCTATGGTTTGAAAAATCATAAGATAACACAATTATTTTAATATATAGCATAAGAAAAGAAAAATTCTAATTCTTTCAATCTTATTCCCTATGTGAATTTCCATTGGACAGCTGTGGATTACAGATTAGAATTATTCTTCAAGAAATTCATCAGAGGCATAATTTTCTCACAGTTTCTATCAAAACACAAACGAGATCCTAGGTGAAAATTGAAATTTATTTTATTTTTCAATGTGCATGATTAAGTAAATTCCTAACAGTGATATCAGAGCATACTTTGTTTTTGTTAGAAATTATTTTTAGTATCTTGGAACAATCAAAAAGTAGTGTATCAATTGGGGCTACACAAAAATTTCGTGTCATTCCATGTAGTACGAGAAACATGTGTATGCTAGAATAGCCCTTTGTTCGTCAGTGAATTTTGATGTAAAATTTGACAAAACATTCTTGGTCACATTGATGATAATTTTACCCAGAAACCATAGATCTTCGGGGATCATGTACTTCCATTCCTGCAACACATTACATAAAGTGCAAACATATCTCAAATATATTGTACTTGTACATACAATCATTTAACTAAAAACATATTATACTATTTAAGAACAAGGTCAAAACATGTCACAATCTCAACATAATTTGTAAAATTGGACACAATCTCTTCACAATCCATGCATTCTAGTCAACAAAATTGGTCACATTCAACATTCTAATTAATTGATTGATTGATTGATTTGATTAATGGATGA